CCGAGGTGCCACACAGCTCTTCGAAAGTGAACTTGGCCACACCGTTGGCTACCTTCTCGCACAGCCTTGACCCATGTTATTTTGGGCTGACATTTGCCACACGACTTCGCAGCACACGAAATGAGACGTTGCAAAGGTGCAGGGTTCAAAGACTGGGTCTCAAAGACCCCTACAAGGAACGTCCCCAAGCGATCCGCAAGTGCATGGGACCTGCCTCAGGATGGCTTTGGGTCACGCTTTGAACACGCATGTAGCCACCATAAGCCGCGGACTGTCACTCCGCCACAAGCAGCAATAAAGGCTGACTCAAGCTGGCTGGCTCCTGCAGGTGCAAGCCATGAGTTTCGAGCGTTGGCTTCCTTTACCATGTTCCCACATCTTCCCACATCTTGCCATGTCTTCTGTTCCGGCCTGCTCCCTGCAAGTACTCGGCTTGGTCTGCGGAACCGGTCCCCTGCGGGTGTCACACAAAGCAACACTGACCAACGACTGAGCAACACCCAGCATTGGAAGAGGCGCCCTGAGACGATAGTCTGTGCCAGCGTCAAGATGGTGTACCTTCCAAAGAAAGCACTGAACTTTCGCTGAACCTGAACAATCCTTTTTTGCTTTCACCTGTTGCTTCAGTCTTTTATAGTTCTTTTTTGCCTTCACTCTTTTCACTGCGCCCGCACCGGCCTCCAAGGCCGACTGCAGCAAGGATTCGAAAGCCGGTAGATGAGCATCTCGACCGACTCCTCCCTTGTATAACCTCTGCAAAAGGCAAACAGAAGAAGAGTATGTTAAAAGATATCTTTTAGATTCTTTTCGAGCATCTACAACACACAACAAGGACGCTGCTCGCTTGGAGGACGGTTGGAGGTGATGACCACAACGACCTCTCGTCTCAAAAGGTCACCTGGCAGCGATCACAAGCGTCACTGAAGTCTAGAGGTGCGGTCGACAGTCTCAAATCCAATCCACAAGGTGGCAGGAAGAACTGAAAAGCGGCGTGAGCAGCCTCAGCATCAAAAGAAATGTGAGGACACCTCCGTCAAAGAGCTACATCCCGTTCCGAGGATATTTCTAGCTGACGCACCTGAATTGAGCTGGACTTCAGAAAACAGAAGTATCCTGCAACCTGGCTCCATGCAAAGTCCGTGCCCAGAGAGTCCACTTGTCTACAAGTACCACAAGTAGTTTCGGGTCGACTGACGGGAAAAAACCGAGCAGCTGTCGATGCATCCGCGATGGTCGTGATCTGAAACCTCGACTCAGGTTTGTTCGCACCATCCTACAAATGACCGAAGACTTGCTAGGCTCGGCACTCATCGAAGCATAACACAGGTGGTTGGCCGCAGGCGACCTCCATCTCAACGACATGCTTTTCCAATAGCCCATTGCCCATTTTGCCCAGTACTTGCCAACAGAACAACAGAGCAACAGAAGAAGCCACCGAGTCCATCACGTCATCCACTGCGGCAGCCAGCCCAGACTGCCCCCCTGAACGATGCAGCTGACGGTGGAGACCATGCACGAACCTCGTGATGAGAACCGACATGTCGGAGGCAACTTCTCCCTTTGAGGAGCTGGGGCACCAGCTCATGAAAATGGACTCGCCGGAGCTGCGCCTGTCCACAGCTGTTACATCTTTCTATGAGATCCGGCAACTTTCACACTAGGATGCCAGCTGGATCGTAGATGGATTGAGCTCGGGCAAACTCAAAAAGTCAGAGATCCAAAAACACAACCTGGAAACCAACGACAAATGAGCACGATTCGAAAAGAGAGAGCAACAAGACAGAAGCAGGCTCTGAACAGCTGTTCCCAGAGGAGAGGCCCTCCCCCATCTGGCCTTCAGCATCGAGCTGGCATCGCCGGGCTCAGGGCTCTCAGGCTGCAAAGACAATGCCTTTGTCGTAGGCAGCACAACAGTCAGCTGTGCAAAAAACAGGTCCCTGGGCAATGCACAAACAGGTCCATCAGCAGAGTCTTGCCTCGGCCAACCTGTCACGCAAAGAGCAGCCCTCGATGTAGCGACACACACAACTGCAAACTGCAACATTGTGCGAAAGCTGCTCGGCAAGCGCCTGGCCCCAAATATAGCAGCCTTTACTTTGCAGAGAGGGCCTTACCGAAAGCAGCGCAAGTGATGGCTACAGGCTTTGTGCTCTGAGACCCCACTGCGTTGGCTCCATGGGGAGCACCAAAGGAACCTCCAGAGAAAGCCGAGAGAAAAACGTGATCCAGGTGCGGCATGGGTATGGTTATGTCTTTCCTCCACAAAACACACCTGTAGGGTCGCAGAACGCAGTGCCCCTGATGAACCTGCCTCTTCCTCTGCAAGATCGGACTTGCCATCCCTCTGGCCATCTTTCCGGCGTTTGAGCCGCTGTTGTTCGTGTTCGGCTCTTCTTCGAGCACATTCGGCCTGCAGATACTTGACGTGAGAAAGGTCATGCCGACATTCGGCATTCCAGCTGTTGCGTCAACAAAACGATCCTATCAAGTGCAGCAAGTGCAAGGATGCGCACAGCCTCCCATTCCTGGTGCTTCCGCTTCCAAAGGTCGTAAGCCTACCATCAGAACGCTTCTCAGAGCTAAAAAGATGTGGTCGCAAGTATTTCCCGGTCAAGGGCCTCCGTGTATGCCCAGGTCGACCTCCACACCTTATAGGGTTCAACAAGCCACAGAACGTTGAAGCGGCCAGGCACGCAGATTGGATCCAATCATGTCTGCAGGTGCCATGGGCTGCTGATCGGTCTTGTATGAGCACTGATGAGCACTGTGCTGTGCAGCTGTCTCTTTTTCTTGGACGTCTTCAGTTTCCGTGGGTGAAAGATGGGAAACCTGCACCATTCTTCGGGTCTCGAGCAGTTGCCGGAACGTCAGCGAGATTCGGCAGTAGTCTGCTGCTCTCTTCAGCTCCGTTCCATCTCGCAAACGTACCAGCCTTGAGCGCCTGATGCCATGGCGATAGGCGTACCTGCTCTCGCCCTGGAGCACCAACAGACTTCTGGGTTCTAGAAGCACTTTGACCCAATTGCCGTGGTCGATCCCATCTCCCGGAAGCTCTTTGGAGTTCTTTGCCTCCGAAGCCACAGACAGCGTCATCTGAACAGGCTGCAACAAGGACAGAGTTGCCAGATTTGGTCCGAAGGAATGTGGGTCTTCTACATGTGCAGCGATGCCGGTCGTGCCTGTGTATCTGTTCACAGCAACTTGGTTGAGTTCGCCTGGGACAAATACGCCGGTGCCGATCAGCCGTGGCAGCAACCATGATGGCAGGTCGGAGAGGGGCCTGCCCTGCTGCATCTCAAGGGAAGCAGGCTGCAAGCTGGCCATATCGTGGCGCGTCTGGTAGTAGACCAATCCAAAAAACTGCTGCGCCCGTATTAGGTGGCTTAGCCAATCCCCTTGTTCCGTGATCGCTACCAGCTCCTCTTCCTCGGAACAGGTCACGAAGTCGCGGATATATCGCAAGCCTTCAGGCATAGATGGGCCATGCTTTGGACCCACCTCGACAGCCGGATCTGACCATAAGGTCTGACCCACAAGTAGGGGCGTCCCCAGTGCAGTTCGTGGCGCCTTCTCAAATATAGCTTCCTCATGGCTTGCGGGCTTGAGCATGTACTGCTTAGCCTCGCTTTTGGCAGAATCTGTTGAAAGCTCAAACCCGTCTGCAACTGATGCAACTGTAACTTGAACCAGGAAAGGAACATTAAAGACACCGCTGAGGAGACCACCTCCCGCATCCTCCCGAGGCCCGAACCACATCCATCCGCTGCGCCACCTGTTGTTGCACAGTGTCCGGGACCAAGGCCTGTCGAGAGCAAATAAGCAACAAGCGAGGCGAAGCGATGCGAAGCGATGCGAAGCGATGCGAAGCGATGCGAAGCTTGAGAGGAAGACCACCAGACGCTCGCCTCCAGCCGGGTCAGGTAAGCCAGAGCTTGAGATGGACCCGCCTGACCATGACAACCACGGACTGTAATGGTCGCTCACGAGGTTACATGGCTGATGCACCTTCAAAGCTACAGCATGAGCTTCATCGAGGAGCGATGGGGCTAATCCCAGGCGCAGCAAACCGGGCCTGGCCAGTCGTCATACAAGGCGGCCACTCAGAAACCGCAATTCCCCAAGGTCTTGCAAACACACAAACTATCTTCGGAGGTCGTCTTCAAACGGGTCTGTCCACTCGCATTTCGTTTCTAGCTTCTTGCGACCCACACTCGTTGGCGGACCTCTGTTAAGTTACTGCTTGACTTCCGGTCGGTTCATTGGGTGGGGGTAGCCCAGCCGCTAGATTTGGGGTAAGGAACTGACTGAAGGCCGCGTCACGTACTCTCCTGCGAACGATGCTTCCAAGTGTTGGAGATAAGGTTGGAGGCAATGTTGGTGGTACATGTGCCCAGCACCTGCAACGACCTCTGATACGTCCCTGGACATCGATGCTAAGACGTTCGCCGGCATTCACAGAGCACGCGTGGAAAGTTCTGAAGGGCTGCCACTGCGATGTCTTGCATGCAACATTGGCTGCCTGAGGTCTAGGCGGAAAGGAGGAAAATGCCTTGAAGGGCCACTACACATTTCCGCAAGGCCTGGTGTGCTTCATATCCGAACACTGTGGCGCGCACCCTTGCTGGAAGTGAAGGCCGCCACAGAGAGGCTATCCTCGTCAAAGCAAACGTGGCCCAGCCTCCCCTGAAGCACGAGAAAAATTTCCGAAACTGCCTTGAAGATGTGAACCTCATTCTGGGCTTCCCAGATCCATGGCTCAATGGGGGAGACTCACCTTGTTACTTTCTGAAACCAATTGGCAAGATCTCGAATTCCGCTTAGCACCGCGTCCTGAACAACGCCACTTTGCACTGCCTCGGAGCTAACTCTCTTGCGAACAGCCTTGCCTTCCATGCTCTTTACGGTATTGTGGCTTTCTTTGAGCCCACTGCCAGAGTAGAGCAGAAGCAACAATCCGAGATTTTGAAACAGCTGCGAAGTCTTAGGCTCCGAGGCGATGCCTCCCATCAAGTAGAAGCAATGGTTCCAAACGACCACCGCATGGCCGGTTCGCGGGGTGTACACCTTGGCATGTTACACGGGGGAAAGACCGCCATTTGAAGAACCCTTCTGCATGCTCCGCATCTTGCCTGGCCCTGCTGGTCCTCAATTCGAGTCCAACCTCGATCCAATGCGCCACTCCGTTCAGGCTTCCGGCTAGAAACAAGTAGAGGCTGCTACACCACAGATCCTCGGGCATCAGTGTTTGAGCTGCATCCTGATGCACGGACGTTTGGCCAGATTCTGCCGGTGTTGCAGGTTAGCTGTTGTCCTGTGCATCACCAACCGCCCCAGTGCTCCCGGGAACGTCTGGCGAGTGTCAGGAATCTCTTGCATAGCAATGCTTGGGGACGAGAGAACCTTTGCCTTCTGGTCGCACAGAACTGTTCGGGATGGGTGGGCTGCTTGCAGCCTGTCAGACCCACGTGGTCCGCAAACTCGCTGTGTTTGCCCACACCTGACCTGGTCCGCCAGTTGCTTTTGGCATCGCTGTAGCTCGGATTTTGTTCGAAGCAGAATGCGGTACCTGCAAGCGAATGGCCCAAAATCTTATGCGATGCTGGTAGCACATCAACAAGAATCGGTCAGGGGCACATATCGTTCAAGCGACGTCCGTCAAAGCCACCCAGGATGTACATGTAGCCCTAAAAGAGACATTGCATGGCCACAAGAAGAGCATGGCGATCGCACATCTAGTTCACATTCCGTATGTTTCGGATAGCGCAGCTCACACAGCCTATGGCCTCATGAACGACCGTCTTGTGAAAAGTTCGTGCAGATGGCTGCACAGACATTGTCGCAACCTGCATTGGTCAGCAGCTGATTCGGAAGAAATCTCGCGCGAATTCAGAAGCTGGACAAGCCTGATTCGGGAAACTGGAGAAGGCAGATTCGGGAACCCGAAGGCACGGATTCAAAACCCTGGGATTCGGGAAACTCGAAAGTGTGGATTCGGGGGAAACACGAACGCTCTCTGGGCATTCACAAACCGCACCAACAATGCCTTCAACCAATGCCGGTGGGTGAAGTTGTACCTGGCTGAAGCAGGAGGGCTTCTAGACTCAGGTGCTGTCGAAACCACTAGTTATGACCCGATCCTGAGGTTCAATCAGCATGGACTACCGTAGACATCATAGTTGGGCACTCGTGGAGATCTGGAAAACGGTACTGCGTTTTGTCGACGCCGCCAAAGGTGAACATCTTGGAATGTAAGGAACAGTCATGACCCCCGCATCCCAGGCTGAACCTGTCTCTGTTTGCTGAGGCAGGCGCTGCATCACCACAGACAACTGCAGTGTGACGATAGCGTGCCTCGGAAGCAGAAGAGAATGGGAGGAGGAGGAGACAAGGCCACAAGAAACCGTGAAAAGGTAGGCTCTAGCGGCATATCTTGGCTTCCAGCACGAGGGGCTGTACCACGAAGTGGCAACCTCAGTCATGAACTTCAGCAGGATAACCAATGACGCCTCTCTATCATAGCGAGAAGGTACCATTGAGCAACTCACGGTCGTTACACATCCTTACACTCACCATCTGATAAGACAACCGCTGGATCCACATGTTGGAGGAGATATTGTACTCGAACAACTCCTGCACCGCATGCCACATGAGGCGATCATAAAGGTGTGTAGTGGACTGAGCTGTCCTGCAATGTGTCATGCCCATCCCAGCCCCCGAAGATGTACATGGAGTGGGCATATATCACAGCCTGGCCAATGCCAATTTGTGGGCCGGGAGACCCCACCAAGCTCTCAAACTGAGGGCGGACGGTGTGCCCAAAGCGATTTCGGGGCACTTGACTTCGCACCTGAATAGCTACAGAAAGACCACAATGAGAGCAGGGTTTCAAGGCAGCTGAGCGTCACACGCTGACCTGACTCCAGCGCTTGTCTTTCAGATGCAGCTCCCTCAGGTCGTTGAACCTGCGCACCAAGATTTCTGAAAAGGAGGCAAGCACGAGCCGTAGCACGCGCAGATGGAAAACCGATTCTACGACCTGAGCTCTGCAGATTCCCGCCTGTTGTGCCCGTCGAAGCCCCCGAAGACCAGAAGAGAGTCACGAAAAAGAACAACACTGTGGTCTGTTCTCTTCGTTGGTGCCTCTCCCAAGGTATGTACCTCCCAACAGCTAACAGATCTAGCAACTGGCACATACATCCCTGACAGCTTCGACACAAGCGCACAGAGCCCCACATGCTCGTGGCAATGTCATACTTGTAGACGTCATTGAAGTAGTCCCCATCCTCATCATAACAGTGAAGATATGACTTCTTGAACAGTCTGACGCATAACTCCGCTCATCTTCAGCACCTTTTTTTACCACTCTGGATATGCGAAGCGCCCGCTGGCTCCAGGTCAGCAAGGCAGACCGCGTCAGCTGAGGTCCACCCAGACCTGCCCGAAGTAGCGAAAACTAGCAAGAAATGATAAGATGTGCAAAGTACACAATCCTTCTGTGCCCCATAAAACAAGTATGCATTGACACATCCGGGAGCGCGGGCTCGTCACACCATCGGGAACTAGGCTTGTTTGGGGTGTCACCACGGCCTGCAGCATGAAAATACCACGCCATGTGCTCAGACGAGTTTCGCAGACACTGTTGGCTGCCACCTGCACCATGACGTCACAGGCGCGCCAGATCTGGCCTCAAGATATATCACAGACTTATCAAAAAACACAGAACGTAGGCAAATCCTGCAAGACCAGCAAGTCGAGTGCTGACAGGCCAAGCAGAGTGCCGGACGACTGCACTGTGAACTGAGGTAACTGTGTTGATCTAACCTTACCAAGACAGAGGCATGCTGCTGCACTCGAGCTGCTGCGCTCTGCTACTTGTCTGTTTCAAGACTTCAAGTGGATCAACTAGAGCGAAAGAACATCAACAGGCACCCCAAACACTCCAACACAGACTCGAAGTAGGTATGTTCCAGGTAACGCTCAAGGCGAGCTCCACAACCCCCAGAATCTTTCAGAAGCGGGAGTGGCTTTTGTCGGTTCAAGGACAATGTCCCAGATCTGAAAGCCATGGATATGGAAAATGCCCAACTGGTAGCTCATGCGATAACTTCTTCGCACGGCGGCAGGCCGATCAACGACTTCAACCAATCGCCGAAGAGCGCCAAACCACCAATAGAAGAGCACACAAAGTGCCGAAACGATTTCCAAGCACTGGGCAAGGCCGCTGCGGCAAGTCGCTCCCCCATCCTGCTACCCCAACACAACCCCAAAGACTTGGCATCCACACGTCACTCGCAAAATCTGGCACGCCTGGAGCTCTGCAGCCGAGGCATCGGGTCGGCCGAACCTCGCAGTAAAGGGCAGGTCGAAGAATCCGACTGTCCTACACAGTAAGCGCATGTCAGCGCCTCTGCGAAGCTGCTGCAAGAGGCGCAGAACCTCCACGCCCCTGTGGCTGCGTTCCTGAGCTTCCCAAACTTGTACGATTGCATCGACTATATTTGACTATTGTGCCTCGACATGCCAAAAGCCAATTCCACGCAAAAGGGCTGATGCCAGCAACGCAGCACAGAAAGCCACCCAATCTGGTCGAACTCCGCATCCTTCCAAGTCATTTACACGACGACACGATCGATAAATGTCGAGAACTGAGCTTCCTGCGTGGCATTTCTTGCCACAACAGCCACAAAGATGTGGCCTTGAATCGAGCATGAACGCAAAAGCCGAAGGCAAAGCACTGCATACACATGAGCACACCACACCTCACCCAGCTCACACAGCTCACCAAGCTCGCTTGACTTTAAACACCACACATCTCAGCACCAGCACCCACTGTCGGCCCAAGCCTGAAAGGATCACTCTTCTGCCTAGTCCCCCACGATAAGCAGAGCGGGCATGAGTGGACATGACTGGGCCCTCTGCTTGCTTGGGGCATCTTGGGGCATCTTGGGGCATCTCTTCAAAGCTATGTACAGCGTTGAGGTTTAGTTGCCCGCTGAGGTGGGCTCTCGGTGCAAGTCACCTTGCACCGCTCCCTTGAGTGTAGTAGGCGTTCGGAACTCAAGATAATCGCGCCCCGGATTTCACTGTACATGACCCTTGTGTGCACCTCTCTAAAGTGAAGATTTCCAGGTTCCCAGTGTTTTGGTGACCTGATTTAAAGGCGAGATTGTCGGTGGCTGGAACGCCTGCTGGGTGTCCGAGACGGATCACCCCAAGTCTGTTGCCGGCCCTTGGACATCGAGGGTACACTCCCTCCTTCCAGACGGACCATTTCTGGGGACGGGAGGAACTGGAGCCACATATGCTGAGTTAAAGATACACCGAGGCACGAGCCTGAACAAAAAGCCTTCGGCAGAGGGGCAACGCAACAGAAACAGAAACAACCACCTCAACCAGCAGCAACGGGAGCAGACCAGGCTGGGTTGGGCCGAGAGGCGTAGGCTCAAGCAGGCCGTCAACAGGAGAGATTGAGGAGAGTATCGGCGAGGGACGGCTGGACGAAGGGCAAGCTACCCGCATGACCATGGGCACTCTGTAGACTCTAGAGAAAAAAAGGACCTCAAGAGAAGGTTCCCAACCTAAAGTGGCAAAATGACAAGAAGTCGTGCCCGAGCGACTGCGGCAAGCCAACCGAAAAACCACACATAAACAAACAGACACACGCACCCACAGAGTCCGCCAACAGACGAAGCATTTACAAGGCTTGACCTGCATTTACAGTGACAAGGTGGCGTGTGGTAACGTCTATCTCGCCCTCATCCGCCTGCACTAACCTGCACTAACAACATGGCTCAGGGCTATTCCTGTGCGGCGAGTGATGACCTACTACCTCGACTGCGTGCCCTTTAGTCCCAGACAAGGCCCAAAATACTCGATAAGGCGAGCCACGACACGCATGAAGAGCCACGCCAAAGCAAACGGCGTTTGGCTTGTGATCTCTTGCAGACAGAGCTGGCAACCTCACGTCCAGGAAAACTTCCAGTTCAGCCCAGCAGAGAAAAGCATAAGGCCGAGGAGGCTACAGGCGGAGAGCCCAGTGCCACTTAGAGGCCTGCAGAAGTTGGCAACTGTACTTCCAACAGAAGCTGGAATAAAAGACAATTGTGGGATGGAGTCTTAAAAAACCTGTGGGACAGTCCTCCACGCAAGCCGCCATAGCAGATGCGCGCACAACCACACCACTCATGCCGGCCAGCTGCGCCTTGCCAAATCAAAACTCTCTCAGAGTTGGCGATTAAACGCCTTTCATATGCATCTGAAGGCATCGGGGCCTGACGAAGATAGTGCAAGGCCTGCACCCGAGCAGGCTGACGTCCGCCGCGTGCTGTGCATTAAGGCGCTCTGATGTGCATCTTTTGTGCATATTTTTCGCATTTGTTTGTGCATCTTTTGTGCATGTCGGCTTTGCCTCGATCCAAAGGGCACCGTGCTGACAAGCGGCGAGGACCGGACCTGAGCCGAGCCAGAGAAACAAGAGTGAGGCTGCACCAGCCGCCTCGAGTCCTCGAGAGCGGCACCAAGACATCCAGGGATGTCGGAGCCTGGACAAACTGTGGACAGATTGGATGATTGGACAGTACCAGCAATGGTCAAAGCCGGAGTTCACAAGTGCCCCCAGGCCTTCAGATCTCAAGCTTAGCAACGCCAAACTGACCTCCCAACGAGAAGCTCGAACGCAGGCTGACTGGACAGCACCTTGACAAAACACAAGGCATGGAATGGATGCACAGTTGACAAGGCAGTGTGCTGGCCATTTGCCATGTGTTGTGCAGTGCCATCTGGGAGCAGGTCTGATGCAAGCCTCCTGCCATGGCGCGGCAAAAGGCAATGACTTTCAGGTGAGCGGATTCATTCGACCCATCCCCATGCACAATTGCGGACAGCCAGCATTCGGAGGAATTCCGCACTGCTGCATCCTGTCCATGTTAACCACGAGCTGTTCATAGCTACGGAGAAATGCAATGCAATGCACATCACAGCAGTGCTCGGCCAAGTCCTCGCAGAAAGCTCCAATGCCTGGAACACCAGGTGCAGCTGCTCAACATTGTTCAATGCACTGAAAAACCCGGCTACCTGCTGCCATTGAAAACCACGGGCAGCTGCTGCAATTGCTGTGCCCCACCAAGCTCCTGGCACATGACCCAAGGAAAACCAAAAAGCTCGAAGGGAGGAAAGCCAAAGCGGGCTGCCTGTCTGAGATTTTCCTTTGGAAAGCAGCTCAAGAGCCTCGGCCAACCCGAGCTAAAACACACACAGAACTCAAGGAATCGCTGCCAAACTCTTCCCATCGAATGCGCACAGGTTCTTTGCAACATTTCAGATTCCGACTTGGCGCCAGAGCTCTGCAGTTGAAAACGCACTCGCCTTGACAGCGGCAGCTTTGGGCCAACAGACATGAGCCGTTTTTCAAACCAGCTCGGCCAAGCATGTACTGGCATGTAAGGTAAGCGTGATGCTGCAGCTGCCAGTCCTGCTTCCCCAGGTTCGACGGTTTCCCTGCGGAGCTTGGTCGTGGACGCTGTGTGGCACTGTAAGTTACAAGTGCCTGCTCATCATCTGTAGCAAGGCACTCGCCTCACAGCTGCTCACGCAACACAGGCGCTCGGTTGGTTTACGGCTATCTGGCCTGTACCCAGGTTGAAGAGCTGGCACAGGCGGTCAAACACGCTCCGAACAGCGCAGCGCTTAGCAGCCGAGCTGCAGATCCTTTGGGGGCACTTGTGTCTTCACATGTTCTAACATAATTGGTCGCTGAACAGCTGTGACCTTAAACAATTAAGTTGCCCGCCAAACTCAAGAATGGCCAAGGCTGCCTGGGCCACGGTGGCAATCAAAAGCAAGCAGCTGCAATCCCGGATCTCGCCTGCCACTGATGACCACGGCCACAAGCTGTTGCTGTGGCACCCAACAAGACCACGTCACCTGCACCCAGGTAGCTTGAATGAAATTTGTTGAACCGTCTCATTCTACCATAAATTTCCCGACCCACTGCATGCCCACCAAAATGCAGTTCGGCATGGACTGCAAATGCCTCGAAACTCCGCAAGCGCACCGTCGAAGAGGGAGAGGGCGGCTGTCCTCGTGTTTGCCGTAGCATTGCTGAATTTAGCTCCGTGCCGCCTCACTTCCTCTCAGGACACTACCAGCGTGCGGCTGTTCCGCAGGCCGTGATGACGGCCGTGATCGCGACGAGATCCCGGGTCACACGGAGCTGCATCTCTGACAAAAGGTGTATGGCTCTTGCCCACTCCTGACTTCGGAAAGATGTTTCTTGTTTCTCGATCTGCTGGGGCATGTGACAACAGAAGTTGCTCTGGTTCTCATTGAGGTCTGGTCAGCTCCACGTGCAAGGGCATCCAGAACCTCAGCGCGGCGCGTTTGCAAAGCCGGACCTGGTCTGTCCGGACTCCCCACTGATGTTGGATTGAAGCAAGTTGCTGCAGCATAGCTGCTCACAGATGGTCTCGGCCCTCGATGGCGCATGCTGCGAAGGAGAAGCCTCGCCGAAATGCCACTCATCTAGCAGCAATCTCAAGTGTTGTATGCACCTGCAGACTCTACGGCCATAAGGACAAAACAGGGCCCGCTCCCATTTGGTCGCTTTGGCCTGAGGTGCGTCGCAACTGCCACGCACAGACTCACTGCCTGCAACAATAAGAGCCAGGCACATGCTGAGATGGCCGGATTCCAAGGTTGCCGAACTTAGTATGGTAGCATATACGACTGTAGAATAAAGTATATCACTGCCCGGCGCAACATTCGGTCTACGCGACCGTGAGGTACAGACTGAGGTGCAGGCTTGCAAGCTTGCGCGACCAGGAGAGGAGTTGCAATGCCCACTCCCAACGCAAGCTCCTCCCACATGCCTCCAAGCAAGACAAGTTCAACTACTAGCTGTGCTGGTCCCAAATCATGATGGTGTCAAATCCAGCAGTGAAGCAGTGGAAAACTGTACTGGAAAAACGCCAAGCAGTTAACATGAGAACGAAACAGCTGCCCAGGTTGGCAGATGGAAAACAATTTGAGTAGGTAGGTCTGGAGTCTTCTTGAGCTGCTGACACGCCGAACACTCTCAGATAACTCAGTACCACTGCGACAGCAGGCCTTCACGCCGGCGTCGCAGTCTTCTGGCGCGAGAGCTTGATGTGAAAGTGTTTGCAAGGCCCATAGCGCCCAATCCTCAATGGAACCACTTGAGTTTAGGGCTCGGGAGTGCACAAATTACAAGCCAATGCGCTCACGTTCTTAGCATGTGGCCCACTTCTGCTGCCATTCTGATCTCTCCAAGGTGATTGCGGCCCAAGGCCTGCCAACAACTGCAGACCGATGAACTAAACCTGCATCGTTTCAATGTGAACATGGGCCTTCGCATCACTTTCCTTGAGCTGTTGACGAGCCATGTCGGGAAAGAAAAGGCTCTGAATCTAAGGCGACACGTTCACACCCGAATATCTTGACATCATCTTGTCTAGGCTGCCGATGTCTGTAAACCTGTTCCACCGGGATCGGCTACAAGGCTCCCATCCGGCCATCTGCAGCCACGGAAGAGGTCACGACAGTCAGCATGTTAAAGACAGAGGCAACACCAGCGCTGGACATCTGCTTATATGACGCTATGTCCTTCTTGGTGTAGCCACCGAAGAACCACACGGCCCCGGACCAGACCACAGCCTCACCAAGGACACATGCTTATTGTTGCTTAGTGCTGCTTCTTGCTTCTAACTTTGGTCCGCCTGGGCACCACTGCGGGCGGGCGGTGGACGGCCCCCAGCCCGGATCTCCTGCCAAAGGTTGGTCTCCACGTTGTACCTGTGCAGAAGCCCTCCGAGACTCCGAAGCCTTCACTTCTGGTAGAGCGTGTCACTCAGACAAAGCAGATGGTGCTGTGCATAGCCGATGCCTAGCTGAGTCGAACAGAAACGTGTAAAACACGACTTCTCCCAGCAGCGCACGCATGGACGTCGCTTTGCCGTGCGGCTCCGTCTGTACCACCGAACAGGTAAAACACGCCGTCCTGAACACCATTTTAGCCCCGCACAAAACGACCCTGACATCTCGATTCTGACGCTCACTCTGCAACATTCGGGGTGGCAAAGCCTCGTTCACCACTGCATGGCCAGTTCGAGGTGTGTATACCTCAGGAAAACATTGCAAAGTCACCCAACGGAACACACCGGGACCGTACTAAATTTCTTTTGTCTTTGGGGTCGGGCATCACCCACATTCTCCAGATGGTCCCACTTGTAGGGCACTCCCAGCCTGAACAGCAAAATCGTGCTACAACTACACGATCGCATCGGAGATGTAGGCCATCGACCCAGCAGAGGCCATGTTGTCAATGTGTGCCCTCCTGAGTAATGATCTTACCACCAGACTGGCATTTGCTTACTGTGACATTGCTACACCATGCAAACTTGCGTAAGGAACCTGCTGGCATTAAAAGCGCGGCGCAGGTCGCAGCTGCGGGGCGGTGTCGGGAGCAATGGTGGTCTGCGGAAAAAATCCTCACAGAACTGACAATCATCTTGGTTGTTCAAGCAATGGCTTTGAACATTGGCTTTGCAAAAAGCAAGCACGTGTTCACTTTCAGGCTTTGACACGCTGAGTAACGCAACTTACTCAGTAATGCACATGTGAATGTGGCTTGTATTAAAATCAACTCGAAAGCACAACGAATGGTGCAAAAATGCTTGTATAGTTCAAGCTCGCCAAGGATGACAGCAAAACTGCTTACTTTATACATCTCCAACTCAAATTAGTCAAATGAGAAACTTACACTGTAGACGCAAGACTTTGGGATGGAAACTCCGAAGACATTTTGTCGGATTCTTTGGGGATTCTCCGAAGTATGGCTGAGCAATCTGACCCTATCCTTCTGTTTTCGCTCTCGCTTCCTCTTCTGCGGGGCATGGGGGCCCCCCAGAAAAACCCCGCCCGCGCGCAGAGTGCCCCCGGGGTTTATCCTGTGCGAGACTTCCCCCCAAGAGGGTAACAAAGACTTGATTGGTAAGGAAGCAAGAGAATACGAAAACTATGAAGAGAATTATATGAATGCATTTGTAAGCGAAAGAAGTGCACGAAATGCATGGATTTAATGAACGAAGTGAGCGCCCTTTTCGTATTCTTGTAGCGCTCACTTCGCTTTCTTAATGAATCTACCGCGAAGTGAATGCATGTAATAATATTATATTGAATGAACACAGTAAAAGATGCATGAACTTTATTAAAGGCGTGAACGAAGTAAACCAAAAGATAGGAAAATTATTCCTGACCCAAAAGATGACAGGGAACTCCAGGAAAAGAAAGAACCTGGAAAGGATGGGATTCTTCTTGGCGTAACATTAAACCCTAAGAAATGCATTCGGGAGAAGGTAAGAAGAATACTGATAAACAATAGAATGTAGATGAAAAGAGAAAGTGTACTAGAGGATGAAAATAATAAATTCTTAACCAACAATCTTATTTCCATTAAAAGTTATTCCAGAGGAAAATGGAAATTATAGCTCCTAAAGAAAGAACAAAATGAAAACGTGCTACAACACAATCTGTATCATGTAATCCACCTCTGGTCGACATGAATAAAGGATGTGAGAAGAAGACAAAACTAAGTCTAAGGTGGAATAAGAGTAGATTTCCAAGACATGTAAAAAGCCAATTAAAGACTTTTGCACCAGTTGGTACAGTAAGGATATTAAGATTGTAACTCCTGCAAAATAAGCTCTTGTATTCACTTTCTAAACCTACAATATACATATGATGCCCCCAAACAAGACTTCCGAAAAGAGAAATAGATGACATGGCAAAGATCATTGATTGGTTACCAAAGATTACTAATATCAAAGTCACAAAAATTATTGGGGAGATCCCAAATGGAACTATTAAGATGTAAACTTCGAAAGGCGCATTCGTCTGTGATTGTTGGATCACAAAGCGCGCCTCTCTTTTTTGCGCGCGTTCACTTCGCTCTCATTAAATAATAAATGCATGGTGGATTGGGGGAATGAATGTCGCTCCTTACAAGACAAAATGATTTGTGGAATTCTTACGAAAATACAGAGAACGCATCATTTAGTATCCGGTTTTTTCTGAGCGAATCATCTGTCACGAACGGTGCGTCTTTTCAATAATTCTTGGTGATCGCGTGAAAGAAGTGAACAAGGAACCCAACAAATCAAGGGATTTTACGAAAGATTGGTTTTAATTGGAGATTTTATACCGGCTTTATTAATGTTTGCTACCCCCCCCCCCCCAAAGATCTAGGTATTTTCATGATTTAGCGATATCAAGTTGAATACTTGCATGGGCCCGGAGGCGATGTGAAGTTGAAGATTTAACCGCCATTTAAACCTGAACCCTTAACCGTAAAACCCTTTTGGGTTAAGGCTTGAAAGGTTTAGGCCTTAAGATTTAGGCATTTAAACCTAAGCCCATCGAGTGTAAATCTTAGCGTACAGGGCCTAAACACTTAACCTTTAAGCCCTATAGGCTATAGGGCTAAGGTTTAATGGTTTAGGGTTTAAGTTCAATAGCAGGCCCATAGAGTTAAAGCCTTAAGGGGCCTAAACGCTTAACCTTTAGACCCTATAGGCTATAGGGTCAAGGTTGAAGGGTTTTGGTTTTAAAAGTAAGTCTATAGAGTTCAGACCCTAAGGGGCCTAAACGCTTAACCTTTAAACCCTATAGGCTATAGGGTTAAGGTTTAAAGGTTTAGGATTCAAGATTTAGGCATTTAAACCCAAGCCCACCTTAAGGGTTTAAGGTTTTCAACCCTCAGGGCTTAAGAAATACCCTAAGCCTTTGGACCCCCCTTAAGGTTTAAGCTCTATGGGCTTGTGTTTTAATGCCAAAATCTTAAACCCTAAGCCTTTCAACCTTAACCCTATGGCCTATAGGGTTTAAAGGTTAAGCGTTTAGGACCCTTAACCAAAAGGGGCCTAAACGCTTAACCTTTAGACCCTATAGGCTATAGGGTCAAGGTTTAAGGGTTTAGGTTTTAAAAGTAAGCCTATAGAGTTCAGACCCTAAGGGGCCTAAACGCTTAACCTTTAAACCCTATAGGCTATAGGGTTAAGGTTTAAAGGTTTAGGATTCAAGATTTAGGCATTTAAACCCAAGCCCACCTTGAGGGCTTAAGGTTTTAAACCCTCAGGGCTTAAGAAATACCCTAAGCCTTTAGACCCTATAGGGCTGAAAGGTTAAAGAGAGCGTAATGTCTGGGCATTTATACATTCAACGCCTATAGGGTTAAACCCTGTTAACGTTTTAGAGCCCTACAGGGCTTCAAGGTTCTGACCCTAAAGGGCTTAGGGTTATCGTTTCAATGCTGAAACCTTAAACCCTTAAGGCTTAAGCTCTATGGGCTTGTGTTTTAATGCCAAAATCTTAAACCCTAAGCCTTTCAACCTTAACCCTATGGCCTATAGGGTTTAAAGGTTAAGCGTTTAGGACCCTTAAGGTTTAAACTCTATGGGCTGACTGTTGAACTTTTCAACCCTAAACCTTTAAACCTTAACCGTATAGCCTACAGGGCTTAAAGGTTTAGCCCACGATCCCGAAACACCGCAAAAAACAATAAGAAACATAAAAACTATGGTTTCTGAAACTACTCGGCCGGCCACCCCAGCCACTAGTTTCGAAAATCATGGTTTTTGACATGTTTTTTTTTATTGTTTTTTTTTGCGATGTTTTGGGAGCATGGGCTCACGAAACATCGGTTTTACTGATGTTTTTTAGAGTTAGGCCTTCAATAACATTGGTTTTACCTATGTTTTTTGAAGGTAGGCTTTCAAAAACATTGGTTTTACCGATGTTATTTTGAAGGTAGGCTTTCAAAAACATCGGTAAAACCGATTTTTAGCGTGGGACCCACGCTCCCGAAACACCGCAAAAACCAATAAAAACCATAAGACTGAGCCAGCCACTGGGATGCGAGCCATTGCGAGTATTACAAACACAAATGGTCAAGTATATTTCGAGTGGAATGTCTGCGAAGACATGTGATCTTGAGCGACGTCACGAAAGCTAATTCTGACACTTTACAAGACGTGAACCCGATTGAAAAACGATTGAAACGATTGAAATTCAATCGGGGGCCCGATTGAAAAACGATTGAAACGATTGAAATTCAATCGGGGGCAGGATTGAAGATTGAAGATTGAAGATTCCCAGAAAAAAGGTTTCCAGGAATCTTCAATCTTCAATCTTCAATCCGGTCTCCGATTGAATTTCAATCCTTTCAATCGTTTTCAATCGGGCTCACAATTTGAAAAGACGACCACGCACATATGAAGACTCGCACATATCAAGATTCACATGTCCATATTGAGTTTTACATGTTTAGCTAGCCCCCCACCCCCAACCCTTAAACCCTAAAACAGATCCCAAAACCATGAAAATACCTAGATCTTTGGGGGGGGGGGTACCTAATGTTTATATTAATTGTAAGCCCGTTGAAAAACCCTTAAATCAAAGTTCTTTGCATTTTATTGTGAATTTCCTAGCCCATAAGCCCTTAACATTTGGAGCAAGTAAAATGCCCCTTTTAGTGTAATTCGCTCACTGGTTGGTTTTTCGTGCATCAGCTGTGCGTTTCAGTCCTAACAAAGAAGTCCTTTAACTTAATGCTAATAAGACATTGAATATAGGAGTGAGTCTTCGTACCCCCTGGAATTACGATTAGAATGAGCGTTTCCTGGCCTGGCTTGCAAATTTTTCTGTTAAAATATAATCATTGGAATGCTGTGGGCCCTATTTTAAAACTAATAAGACAAGAATACTAAAAGCCCCACAATATTTTTTGTAATTAGTGCGCTAATAGAAGTATAATAAAGGCGTACGAAACGAGAACACGCATGAACAGAATTACAATATTTTTAAAATAGTAAAATGTAGGGAGTGAAGAGATTACAATTAAATGTCTTCCTTTGTCTCTAGGAAATATCAAGTGAATACGCGAGCTCATGAATTCCTAAATTGACTTCTTTTCAAGCGAGAGCAATATGATATCTTATTTGGGGTTCTTTTCGTTCTCTCTTCTTTCAATTAACATATAAGCAAACGAAAGCGCGTTGTAATCCCAGCTTTTTATGGGGGGAATTTTCTACTTTATCACCTTCACTTGTAATATTATAATAAAGGCCCCTATAAAATATTTTCGGCCGTACATTCATATCTTGATTGACTTCACTTTTAGGTTATTTAATTCGTCACGCTCACTCACTTGCAACATTCCTATGAGAGAACACATTAAAAGACCAGAAATTATAAATCCAATTTTTAATCTGCTTCAATTTCCTAATTTATGAAGTGAATACGCGTACTCTCATTTCCCC